CATCAGTAATACCTGATCTATATTTAGATTTCATAAAGCTCAAGGTTGAAAACTAAATTTTCATACCCAATTTGTTTCCATGTGGCTAGTGGCTACATTAGACAGAAAGCTTTGTAGAATATCTGATGAGTTCAGCAATCTCAGTGAATGCTCTCTCTTCAATACTCAAAAAATATCATTCTCTCCTAACGACAGAGGTGGAAGAGAAGGATCCTTGACTCTCCCTTCGGAGAGGCAGTTTGGCGGTTTTTAGTAGCTACATGTAACTGCAACTATTTTTGTGTTAATTAGGCATGAGAAGGTATTAAATAAAAGATTGTAGACTAAAATATATACATGGAATTGAAGCCAACTGCTTATTTTGGAGCTGTAGCATTGTCACTTACTAGATAAGTTAATCATGAGTAAACCACTCAGTATCTTCCTTATGTCATCATCTGTCAAATGAAATAACACTGTTTCTACCTGTTGGGTATACTAAGAATTAAGTCAATTAACATATGTTAACTACTTAGAAAGCACAAAGTAACCATTATACACACCCTGGTTTTTGAGGTCAGCAGCCTCATATGTATGGATATCCATATATATCTTGATATGTATGGAAAATATGTACTAGCCTCATTGTATGAAGCTAGTAAGCCACATAGCCAGAAATAAAAACCAGAACTTTGGCTGGGCATGGTGGCTCACACCTATAATCCTAGCACTTTGGGAGGCTGAGGTGGGTGGAGTTCAGCAGTTTAAAACCAGCCTGGCCAACATGGTGAAACCCTGTCTCTACTAAAAACACAAAAATTAGCTGCGCATGGTAGTGCGGGCCTGTAGTCCCAGCTACTTGGGAGGCTGTGGAGGGAGGATCACTTGAGCCTGGGAGGTGGAGGCTACAGTGAACCGAGATTGTGCCACTGTACTCTAGCCTAAGTGACAGAGTGAGACCCTGCCTCAAAAAAAAAAAAAAATCCCAGATCTTCTTTTTCCATTTAATATTCCATCCAACCGTCGAGGGCTGGGTTAAGTAACCTAGGATTTTTTAGGCTGCCATCAACAGTTTAACATAAAATTCTCCGAATCAAAAAAATTCAGCAGCTCAAAACATTTATAAAATTTTACTTTAAGCTACGTCTATATATATGTTTTAGATTACGTTGATTATTAAAAAACAAAAACAACTGATGTTCCATTTGGGGGCCAGAACTACACACTAAGGAACTATCCTAAGGAATAGTTCTCTGGGTTTCTATATCTATAAAATAAAACTCTATTGCCTCACTTTTCAAAAGATAGACAAAAATGGAAATAAACCTATGACATCACAACACATTATGCAAGTATGATGTTCATTGTCTCAAAATCTTTATCAAATAAAATCCATGATGATGATAATGACTGTTTCAGGGTTTCCCTTTTTCCCCCCTTTGGTTTTCAAAACAGTCAATATTGGGATATTAACATCTGTGATTTAAAAAATAATCCCCTCCCCCTGGAAAAAGTATATCAGGAATGAAAATAGTACGGATAGAAGAAACACTTAGAAAATTAATTCTAGAAAATAGATAACTAGCTGAAAAACTGTCCTCTTTTTTCAGACATGTTTTAGGTATCTTTCCTTAAGACTTCATTCAAACTTTTTTATTTGAATGATTTAGGTGACTGCGATAACATCTTTTACTGTATCTAAAAACAGGGCATGGGTGTGTAAATTTATGAGCTGGAATGCAAAACTGGCACAGGATGTCTAAATCAGAGCATTAAATCATTTACTATACTCTAATATGAAAATATATTTTAAGCATTGATTATCTCCATGCTCTATCTTTACATATTTTAATCCAATCATCTTTATTCTTTTCACAGTGAAGAAATGTGATATCATAAACTTTTTAACATTTTCAAATATGCCAAGCCAATTAAGAGATTATTGGCCAGATGGGGTGGCTCATGCCTGTAATCCCAACAATTTGGGGGGCCAGGGTAGGCAGATCACCTGAGGTCAGGAGTTCAAGACCAGCCTGGGCAACACAGTGAAACCCCGTCTCTACTAAAATGCAAAAAAGCAGCTGGGTGTGGCGGCATGTGCCTGTAGTCCCAGCTACTCAGGAGGCTGAGGCAGGAGAATTATTTGAACCAGGGTGGTGGAGGCTGCAGTAAGCTGAGATCACGCCACTGCACTCTAGCCTGGGCTACAGAGCAAGACTTAAAAAAAAAAAAAAAAAAAGAGAGAGAGAGAGATTATCCTTGGACAAAACACTCTTCCACTTCAGGCCTCTGGATTCTTCCTTGAAGAAGAAGGACAAGACAGAACATCAGTGGTTCTCAGTTTCTTTCCATCCAACCCATCTGAGGAATTAAGCATCTCTCCATTTACAGAAGTGATGATAGCCTGAAAACGTCCCACAGAAGATTCTGAGACACTGCCCTAGAAGTTGTTCCCCTGCTGGTACGTTCTACTACACTACTGCAGACTTACCTGAGGTTCCACACAGCTCTACGGCCTGCCACTTTAGGTAGAGGAAAATTATAATAATATTTCAATGAGCGTAAGAAGAAAGGCCAAAAGTTAGCATACATCTTCATTTGCTGAAACATGCAAGATCCAAATAAGAATTTGTCAGGAGGCTGAGGCAGGAGAATTGCCTGAACCCAGGAGGCGGAGGTTGCGGTGAGCCGAGATCGCACCATTGCACTCCAGCCTGGGTAACAAGAGCGAAACTCCGTCTCAAAAAAAAAAAAAAATAAAATAAAATAATTTGTATACTGATGGCATCAAAAAAGACTACGTAACTGTTCATATGGCAGGCAGCACAACTGACCTGGAATTAGCTTCTAATCAAGGAGGTAGGTAAAGGAGGAGGAAAAGTAGGGAATCAATCAAAATAATCACCCCTAAGGTTTGAGGGAATGGTTTGAATATGTGATTAATGGAAAGATTTGTCTAAGTCAACTTGCCTGGTATCAGAAAGGGAAGCCAAAGATGAACACATAGACATGTGATGGTATATGACCCCCAATTTCTTCTCCAAAATATCAATTTGTCACATTTGATATCAATTCTATGTATTTTTTTTTTTTTACTGGACAACTCTATAAACTAATAACCGTAAATACTAAAAAGAAAAGATATGGACACATACCATATTATAAGTCAAATACACTAATTCGGCATGGGGATTGATGAAAACTGCCAATCATGGTATTTAAAAATAATGTCCGTATTGCTTTGAGTATCTACTTACTGTGGACAAATTACACAGCATTTAAAAGCTATTGTTAGTTGGGTATGGTGACTTGTGCCTGTAATTTCAGACTCTCTTGAGGCCAGGAGTTCAAGACCAGCATGGGCAACACAGTGAGACCCTCCAACCCCCATCTTTTTAAAAAAAAAGAAAGAAAGAAAAGAAAATTTAGAAAGCTCTTGTATGTGCAAAGTCATGTGAAAAATTCTCACAACTACGAAAGAAGGAAATAGACTTTGAAAACTTCCTTGGAAGATGTGCATTATCTGATCCAAATGTGAATCAATATTATGTCGTCATTAGTAAGTATGCAACGTATGGTAAACATGCTGACTTCAAAATCAGGATATTTATATGAAAAAAATGTGTAATTGTACTACCTTCAAACAAGAAAACAGTATTACTTAATAAATGCTGATTGTTAACTGTATGTTTTACAATGAGATGACCTTTAAATAGCACAAAAAAAAACAGGTGAACCACAGATTCAGAATTTGAAAATAAAAAACTAGCAGGCTCTAAAAATTGCTGTCCTCTGTACCTAAAGATGCCACCAGTGATGAATCAGAATACAATGTCACTGCTCTAACATATATATTGCTATATTGACTCCTGGTCAAAAAAGTCGATAAAAATGTTTTGTGGGCATCAATGTATTCTGAAACAACTATAAAACACACTGTCCATTGCTGCTTAACTTGCTGAAAAACACTCCCTATTTAACAAACACATTCTCAACGTTCGCAGTGTGAACGATAACTGTAAAACCTAAAACCTGGGTCAGTACAGAGACCAACAAGAAATAAACGTGAACAGAAAGAAATACCCGAATCTCAATTCCGAAATATGTTCACATCTGAAATGGTTGCAATAAATACTGTGAAAAGAAGACAATTCCATACACAGGGTTGAGATGGCTAAACAGTCGTTGGATGAAGACATACATTCCTTCCTTATTCTATACCCATGTGTCAAAGCATCAAAACAATTTAATTTGTGACAGTTTATGTTGTGTCTCGAACTTTACATCCAAGTTTATCATGAGGGGGAAAAAAACCTGTTTGGCTTGACTCACCGTGAATCACAGCCAGGAGGTCATCTTGTTGTGTATCAGCAACTATGTTTTCGCTAGAGCTATGTGACCTGAAGTGGCAGCAGCAGAGGCACCAAAATAGAAGGGGCAGGAGCCTTCTCCTGGCTTCTTGGCTGCAAATGGGCTTTCCAGCCCATTTGGGCAACTGAGCAAGAGCCAACCGCAGAGGAGAGAAAGAACCAACCCCGACAGCTCCGCGGAGAAAGGCTGCAGGCCCACCCCACCTTCCGTGCCCTCCCGGGGAGCCCGGAGAAGCAGGATCATAAAAGAGGTCAGGCTTAAGAAACAGCCTGGAGAAAACACAGCATGACAGGGGTCAAAACTAGCCCCATGGAGGGCAAAACCCAGCCCTGACCGTGAAGCACAGATTTCGGAGCGGTCTGGAGGCGGAGGAGGCTCTCTACCCCGGGGCTCCGGGAGCGCCTCCGGCGCGAGCGCGCAGCGGGCCCCCAGCCTTCAAGCTCCTCCAGCCGCCTGGGACCTGCCCCGGCTCCCACCTCACCTGTCCGGTGCCCGCTGGCCCGGCCGGAGCCTCCGGCTCCCTGCCCGGGCCCCGGCCCACCCTTCCATCCCGTGCTCTCCCCGCACGTCCCGCGGGACCACCGGCCGGGTCAGCCGGGGCAGGGGGCCGCCGCCCGCCCCGCAGCCCCAGGCCCGGCCTCGGCACTCACTTTCTGAATCCGCTTCAGCGCCATGGGTCCGGGATGGCGGTGGGGACACCGGCCGGCTGGGGGCGGCTGCGGGGCTCGGGGGCGTGGGTCGTCGCGGGTTGGGCTCCGGCGGCTCGGCTGGCTCCGCGCGGTGGGTCCCCGGCTCGCCGCTCCCAGGCTCGCTCCGGGCGCCGGTCCCTGCTCCGTGAGCGCCCGAGCGCGAGTGTGCGGGCGGGGACGCCGGCGAGACTCTTTTGTTTCCGCTTTTGCTTCTGGGAAGGAGCCTGCGCCCTCCCCGCCGCGCCCCGCCCCGCCCCGCCTGGCACACTGGGAAGTGTAGTTCCAGCCCTGTCCTCGGCCGCAGGCCCGCGGGCGCTGTCAGGTCACCTACTCACCGCTGACCTCGGCGGGGCAGCTTCGGGTGAGAGCTGCCGGGGGCTGGAGTCGCTCTCTGCAGTCTCATTTAGAGCACGTGACTCTGGGGCTGAGCATCTGGAAAACGGGAATAACAAACGAGCTGCTAACGCACTTAAAGGCATTTGTAAATCATCAGTTAGTAATTCCTTATCCGATCGGTGCCACAGCTAGTTTTGCTATTTTATCTTTAAAGATTTCACTTTTTCTCAAATATATGGATTGTCGCAATTTCTCACCTTGCACACATGCACAAACTCGTATCTATCGGATCCCTTACTTAACTCCTTAGTTCTTATTGCCGAGAAAAAAGGTGTCTCTTCTGTCCAATGCACAAATCTTCCTTGTCTGAGTGCATTGTCTGCTTGTAGGTATACCCCTCCTCATAAATTACCCGCTTCGAATACCGAATCCTGAGCTGTCTGTCACTCCCCGCACTGGCTCCTTCCCTACTCATACACACACAGTCTCTACTCAACAGTCAACTCACACTCCCCACTCTCCAATTCCTGTGCACGTGTGTACCCATTAAAACTTGTCTTCTTGCCAGGCGCGTAGGCTCAAGCCTGTAATCCCAGCACTTTGGGAGGCCGCGGCGGGCAGATCACCTGAGGATGAGAGTTCGAGACTGGCCAACAAGGTGAAACTCCGTCTGTACTAAAAACACAAAAATTAGCCGGGCGTGGTGGAGCACACCTGTAGTCCCAGCTACTTGGGAGGCTGAGGCAGGAGAATCACTTGATTCCGGAAGGCAGAGGTTACAGTGAGCGGAGATCACACCACTGCACTCCAGCCTGGGCGACAGAGTGAGACTCCGTCTCAAAACAAAACAAAACCCAAAACTTGGATTCTGCTTTGAGCACCGCAGAATCAGTTTTCACCAAGGTCATCAGTTAGAAGCTTGAGCTTCTGATTACCAAATTCACCTCACTCTCTACTCTGCACCATGTTTTTGAACCACCTGTTTGCAGCCACCCTCTTGCTTTTCAAAACATTCACTGCCTCTGGCTTCCACCGTGCCATGGTAGTTGGGTCTTCTACTTGGTTGACTTTCCTTTTTCTGTCACTAGCTCCTTTTCTCAAGTGTCTGAGTGCTCCAGAGTTCCAAGCCTCCAGAGTTCACCATTGATATCTTTCTAGGAGATGGACCTCATGCTCTCCCTGAACTGGGTGTGGTTTGAGGATCATGGACTCTGAAGACCAATTGCTGTCCCTCTGACTCCTGCAAGCTGGGTGATCTTGGCCAAGCCATGTAAACTCTCTAAGCCCCAGTTTTCTTATCTATCAGTAGAGATGATAATCTCTAAATGTACTATTGTAAGAATTAATTGGTATTTTTATATGTAATATGCCCAACACAGTACCTATGTTGAAAGTGCTCTATGAGTATTATTTCCTGACTTATTTTTACTTATGTGGTGGTAACTAAAAAATTTCTTTTCAGCTCAAACTCTCACAATAGTTTCCATCTTAAATTTTCAAAAGCCCACTGGACACATCTGCCTTCCTTCCCTGTGCCTAGCAGTCAAGGTCTGTAACTACAAGGTGAGGATGAGAGACAGCTTACCAAGAAACCCGAAACAATAGCTACCAGAGCATTCCAAAGGCTGCAAAGAGCAAGGAACAAAAATCCCACTCCTGTAACTTAAGAGAAAAATGAATAATGGGGTAATGGCAGAATGATAGAAACAACCAATAAGACTTAAAACTTAATTTGGAAACCTTCCCTGCCCGGCACCAAGAGGGTTCTGGGGCCTGGCTACTTTCTTACCTTTTCATGGAGTCCTGCTTCTCCTTGCACATTGGACCACCGTCCTTTTTCCAGTTCCCCCTTTGCTTCTCTTCTACTTGGCTTGAGCTTTCCACAGCTGGTACTCCACTTTGTGATGCTCTTCCGGCAACTGCTTCAGATGTGAAATGACCAAGCCTTTGGTACTCCTAACTTCATCTTCTCAAAAGGAAGAATCTCATTGATGCAACTTATCTTTTTACTCCAAGCTATGCATTGTCAGCTGGTGAACAAACTATGAACTGGCTATTCTTGGGTCACCGCAGGTGACGACCCATGGTCCAATGAATTGCGGGAACTTTGGAAATACTATAGGGCAAAAGGGCCTTTGGAAAACTCCAGCAACATCTTTTCATCCTCCAGAAGTGTATTTGGGCTACCTTGAAACACCATTTTTGTACTCCAGAAACACTAGCTCCATATTTCTCTTGCTTTTTAAAAGGCAAGTATGAGAGTGTCATTGTAAATGGGGGATAAATGGTCTGGTCTTGGGCTCCAACTGCTTTGGGGAGTTGCATTCCCTTGCTGATAGCATTTGGATATGTTATAGGTAAGACCGTGTTCACCTGCTGTCACTGTGAGAAGCATTAGTTTCAGGTAGCTCATTGCCATGCAAACCAGGAGAACCTCTAGGTCATTCAGTGGACAATCTTGATCATCACTCTAAAATATGTACTCAAGCTGGGCATGGTGGCTCATGCCTGTAATCCCAGCACTTTGGGAGGCCAAGGTGGGCAGATGGCTTGAGCTCAGGGGTTCAAGACCAGCCTGGGAGACATGTCAAGACCTCGCCTCTAGAAGAAATTTTTAAAGTAGCCAGGCGTGGTTGTGCACACCTGTGGTTCCAGCTACTCAGAAGGTTGAGGTAGGAGGTAGAGGTTGCAGTGACTCATAATCATGCCGCTGCACTTCAACCTGGGTGATAGAGCAAGACCCTATCTTAAAACAACAACAAAACAACAAACAACAAGAACAGAGCAAAGATAAAAATATGTACTCAAGCAAGAGCTATGGTCAGGGCAGTTTTGTTCAAAAGGCATTGAGGGCCCGGGACTCTGGCATCAATTTCTTCCTTTTCCAGGATATCCTTCACACTACTAAAAGATGCACTGATCATGTCACTATTACTTTAAAACCTCCATTGGTTTGTACCATGGAAGCTCAATGCTTTGATTTAGTGCAAAACACACAATTTCTCCCCAAACTCTTCTTTTTCATTGTTAACTCATACACCACAGTTAGTCATGTGCCTTTGCTACATGCACTCACTTGGTATAGAACGACCTCCCAGCATTCACCTGACAAACTTCCATACATCCTTCAAGACCCAATTCAAAGATACATACCCTATAAGATCCTTCTCTGCCTATTTGCTGAGGTGGATTTATTAATGTCTACAATATTCTTTTAATTCCAGAAGCAAGATGTTCATACTTTGGGAATTTCACTTGTCTTGTTCATGGCTGGTTATCTCATTACAACATGAATTCTAAGTCCATATGAAAAATGTATTCCTTTTTTTTTAAGTAAGGTCAAATTTGAATACAATGAAATGTACACATTTAGGTGTACAATTTGATGAATTTTGACAAATGAACATACCTGTGTAACAACACTGTAATCAACATATAGAGCACTTCTTTCACCACAGAATATTCCCTTGTCACCCCTTGCAGACACTCTCCACATCTACAGGGAACCTCACCTTTGGCTTCTATTACCATAGATTAATTTTGCCTTTTCTTGAAAGTCACATAAATTAAAAAATAAATACAACATATACTCATTTATGTTTGAACTCTTCAGCTCAATGAATATTTCTGATTCTTCTATTTTGTTGCATGCATTAGTTCATTTTTTAAAGTGCTGAGTAGTATTCAATTATATGAATATACTATAATTTTTTTCTCTTTTCTCAGATTAATGAGTGGGTTGTTTCCAGTCTGGGTTTATTATAAATAAGGCTATTATGAATATTCCTGTGCATATCTTTCATGGACATATTTTGACATTTCTGTAGGGCAAACACCTTAAAATTGGAATTGCTGGGTTATAGGATAGTATATGTGTAACATCATAAGAAACTACCAAAGAGTTTCCCAAAGCAGTTATACAATTTGAAGTCTCCATTGGCTATTTCTTTCTTTCCCCCCATGAAATGGAGTCTTGCTTTGTTGCCCAGGCTGGAGTGCAGTGGTGTGATCTTGACTCACTGCAACCTCCATCTCCCAGGTTCAAGTAAGTCTCCTGCCTCAGCCTCTTGAGTAGCTGGAATTACAGGCAGCTAATTTTTTTGTACTTTTAGTAGAGATGGGATTTCACCATGTTGACTAGGCTGATCTTGAACTTCTGACCTTGTGATCCACCTGCCTCGGCCTCCCAAAGTGCTGGGGTTACAGGTGTGATCCATTGGCCATTTCTATGCTTTCTTTTTGCAATACCTTTTCTATACCTTTTAAGTGGAGCTTAATTTACTCTTCTTTTTCTAACTTCTTAAGGTGGAAAGCTTCAATGGTTTTACACCTTTTTCCTCTTCTAATAGAAACCTTGGAAGCTACTAATTTCTCTCTATGTACTGCATTCCACAAATTTTGTTATGTTGTATTTTTATTTCATTTGGTTTTAAGTATTTTCTACTTTCACTTGTGCTTCCTTGTTGACCCCTTACCATTACTAACATGGGTTATTTTCTAAAATGTGATGTTTAATTTCCAAATACATATTTAGAGCTTTTCTAGATATATTGCTGCTAATTTCTGTGTAATTATTTTGTCAGAGAAGAGGCTCTATAAGCTTTGATCTTTTCAGGATGATTGAGTTATAATTCCTGTCCCAAGAATGTTCTTTATAGCAAAAGGATCTGATAAGAGAGATGAAGTCTTGCTCTGTCACCCAGGTTGGAGTGAAGTGTGTGATATCTGCTCACTGCAGCCTCTGCCTCCAGGTTCAAGCAATTCTCCTGCCTCAGCCTCCTGAGTAGCTGAGACTACAGGCATTTACCACCACACCCAGCTAATTTTTTTTTGTATTTTAGTAGATATAAGGTTTTACTATAT